CGTGCAAGGTGATGGAACGCATTCTGAAGCGAGCTATCCTAGATCACATTTCTTCCAGAATCTGATATCTACAGCTTAACACGGATTTCTCCCAAACCGCTCTTGCGTGGCAAACATGCTCATGTTTATGGACAGCTTAACCCAAGCCAAGGACGAAAAACTCATATCGGATGCCATATTTTTGACATCTCAAAAGCATTCGACCTCCTAGACGTTTTGTGTGTCCATGTCCACATTTTGCGGACGACTTGAAATCCTGGAGTACCAATGCCAGTGCCCTCCAACTGCACGTAGACGCTGCCAAGCAGTGTTCGTTGGACTGGCACTGGAGTAGAATGCCATGTTATGCATTATGACAGAGGACCAGTAAATATCGTGAGGATAGATGCCGGAGAGAAATCGGGTATCCGGGCCCGGGTATCGTCCCGAAAGTCCTTCGCCATTTTACGGATGATCCGACGCACCTTCTCCCGTATTACTCGCATGGACTTCCAAATACTCTATGGGGCCTACGTCAGACCGCTCCTGGAGTACGCCAACCAAGTTGTCTACTCAGGACGCACGAAAGACGTCACCCCCATTGAGCGTGTTTAGCGGGCCGCTACGAAAATGTTTGCCGGCCTCAAATCCGTGAACTACGAAGCGCGTCTCGCGATGCTTGATATCTTTCCTCTGGAGTACTGTCGCCTCCCACGGGACCTAATTCTTACTTGCGCCCTGTTTGAACAAAGCTTGGCAAACAGGTTTTTACCGTTGACCCAGCAAACATCCGGCGGTGGCATAATAAGAAAAATTTCAAGCTCAGAACACACACAATCATTACACAAAATTTTTTCTCATTTCGGGTAGTAGCTGCGTGGAATGACCTTCCTCCAGCGGTTGTCCACGCTCCTTCTAGAACCCAGTTTAAAGCACTGTTAGACATTTATTTATGCGAATCCTCGCGCTGGCAAGTATACCACCCCGCGCTGAGAACATAAAGAGCAGTGCTACACCCTTTTTTCAGTTGTGCATTTCAGATGAACGACAGCCGCTGACCTACAAGAACAAAACCGACCCGGAAAACTTCGGCAAAAGCCTCGATCCTGTGTATCAATCCGTGAATCCGTGAATCCGTGAAAACTTCTCCTTATCCCTAGACCATGAGAAATCGGCATAAACCCTTAGCCAGTAGTGTTGATTCGGCGCACCTTCCCGTGTTGCTTTCATGAACTTCTAAGTAATCTGTGCGGCCCACTTCAAAGCGCTCCTTGCGTACGCGAACCAAGTTTTCTACTCAGGACGCACGAAAGACGTCACCCCCATTGAGCGTGTTTAGCGGGCCGCTACGAAAATGTTTGCCGGCCTCAAATCCGTGAACTACGAAGCGCGTCTCGCGATGCTTGATCTCTTTCCTCTGGAGTACTGTCGCCTCCCAGGGGACCTAATTCTTACTTGCGCCCTGTTTGAACAAAGCTTGGCAAACAGGTTTTTACCGTTGACCCAGCAAACATCCGGCGGTGGCATAATAAGAAAAATTTCAAGCTCAGAACACACACAATCATTACACAAAATTTTTTCTCATTTCGGGTAGTAGCTGCGTGGAATGACCTTCCTCCAGCGGTTGTCCACGCTCCTTCTAGAACCCAGTTTAAAGCACTGTTAGACATTTATTTATGCGAATCCTCGCGCTGGCAAGTATACCACCCCGCGCTGAGAACATAAAGAGCAGTGCTACACCCTTTTTTCAGTTGTGCATTTCAGATGAACGACAGTCGCTGACCTACAAGAACAAAACCGACCCGGGAAACTTCGGCAAAAGCCTCGATCTTGTGTATCAATCCGTGAATCCGTGAATCCGTGAAAACTTCTCCTTATCCCTAGACCATGAGAAATCGGCATAAACCCTTAGCCAGTAGTGTTGATTCGGCGCACCTTCCCGTGTTGCTTTCATGAACTTCTAAGTAATCTGTGCGGCCCACTTCAAAGCGCTCCTTGCGTACGCGAACCAAGTTTTCTACTCAGGACGCACGAAAGACGTCACCCCCATTGAGCGTGTCCAGCGGGCCGCGATGAGAATTGTTGCCGGCCTCAAATCCGTGGACTACGAAACTCATCGCGCGGTGCTTGTTCTCCTTCCTCTGGAGTGTCGTGGCCTTTGAGGGGACCTAATTCTTACTTATGCCTTGCTAGAACGAAACTTAGCCATCAGATTTTTCACCATTGACCAGCAAACACACCGCGCGGACGTGGTAAGTATATTTTCAAGCTTAGAGCGCACACATTCATTAGGCCAAATTCTTTCTCATTTCGAGTAGTAGCTGCGTGGAATGACTTTCCTCCTACGGTTGTCCATACCCACCCTAGAACCCAGTTCAGAGAACTGTAGACAATTATTTATGCGAATCCTCGCGCTGGCAAGCATATTGTCCCACGCTGAGAACATAAAGAGCAATGCTACACCCTTTTTCAGTTGTGCATTTCAGATGAACGACAGCCGCTGACCGACAAGAACAAAACCGACCCGGGAAACTTCGGCAAAAGCTTCGATCCTGTGTATCAATCCGTTGATCCGTGAATTCGTGAACTTACAACACCATTTGTTTTAACTTACTATCGCGTAAAACGCCATCATTGGGGGCTCTTTGTATTTTTGCCAGTGCCCTGGTTCTCCCGGCATTTATTATGTTCTCGGATCGATGTTGCATTTGAAGCGAGAACGACCCATGCGGACATTTATTGCCTGCGTCGAATAGTTGCATGAAACACATAAAATCTACGTTTTACCCGTTGTAATGCAAAAGAAACGTCGAAGTGCCGTGAAGAAAGAGCAGCCAGTTTACTGTATTTGTCGTTCTAATGACGGAGAACGTTTCATGATGTGGGTTGTGGTGTAATCGTTTCGAAATTTTAGTGCGTGTGATCGTTGTGAAGAGTGGTATCATGGGGATTGCATTAACGTGACTCCTAAGCAGGCTGAACAGATCGAGACTTTTTACTGTCATCAATGTCGACGTAAGTTATTATGGCTTTTCGGTTATTGTGTTTCAGGAAAAGATTCCTCCCTGCAGATAAATTACAAGTCAACTAGGGTTCAGCGACCTAGGTCCTCTCGGCGGCCACTGAGTCCCGGTAGCAGCAGTGATGCGTACGCTGATCAACCTTCCCCCGCCAAGTTCACAAAATCCAAGCGAAACACGCTTACCAGTGATGAGTGCACAGGTCAAGGTATGTTATTTGTTTGATAACTCGTCCAGATTCAGGGGCAGGTAATTTGAAGCATGACAGTCCTAGAACAGCTCCAGTAAAGGGCGAGCGGAATTATACAGTGGATTCCAAGGTTTCTCCAGCCAGCATCATCGATGGATTCGGTGATTGTACTGGACCTAGCTCCCCACCAATCACTTACTTTTCGAGGAATTACTGGCCTCGGGAATCTGAACAGTTCAAGTACGACGAAGAACCCATGCCAAATTTGTCCCACTCCCAACCTCCAAAGTCCAGGGCGGCGTCTCCGCGCGCCCGTGCTTGTGGTAATTGTCGTGGTTGTGTTCGTCAAGAGGACTGTGGGCAGTGTGATTACTGCCTTGACAGACGCAAATTTGGCGGTCCGAATCGTATGCGTCAGAAATGCCGCCTCCGACAGTGTGTTGGTTCCAGTTCCTCTCGAATTCGACACGTGTCGCAGAACATGACGGCCCGTCGACGGAAACAACAAACACTGCAAGGCGTTCTTTTGGGTTCATCGCCGTCTCGATTACATCACTATGCTGATTTCGAGGATGAACCGTTTGAGGTGCCTGTGGATTTTTCTCCTCGGCCCTACATCGATCATGGATCTACGCTTTATGGTCACCATCCGTCTACTCAGACTGTAAATGTCGGCAGCAAAATGCGGAGAGGCGACCATAGGCTGCCGTCATCCAACGAACTTGATGGATTATCCTCGAGATCTTACCAAAGGCTTCATCTGGACGGTGAGTAAATACACTGGAATTTGGTTGGTTTTTTTATTGCTCGAAATCTTGCTATCCGTAAACTAGACTTCTTTGTGCATGCCTGTTTTTGCTACTTCATGGACATCGTGCCATCCGTCCGCTTTTAAGGTTGTAGCGCACGCGCTCGCAAATGACGCGTCGGCTTCTCACGAACGTCTTTGGTGTTTTGTCCATAGATGTACCAAGTGACTGCCATACCGGTAGGCATTCTTGGCTAGAGGCCGAGCACGTATACCCCTTGTCACATCTCCAACATCCACATGCAATCGCCAATAACTTAAGCAGTTACGAGCTGGAATCCCGGCGTCATCTGTTGTGCCCACAAAATTCGTCGGCGTTTCTAGACGGCAGTGCAACCGTTGTATTGTGGGTGGCCGTCTATGGGTTACGCCTGCACTGAGCCTGCCAGACTGCGCGATAGGGAAAAGACGGGGAACTGGGGACACGGCTGTATTGCCAGAACAAAACGTACAGAGCGTCTGCGTAATATTTAGGATGACTAAGTAGCCAAATATGGTCGTTCACTTGTTCGTTCCGTACAGCCAATGGTGGCGTTCCGGTTGTGAACAGTCTCAGGCCCACTACGCTGGTCGTATGTTGCTAAGCCGTGTTTGGTGAGAGCTGCCAACTCACCTACTTTCCGGACGTGTCGAACCGATGGTGACCTTGGGGATGCGTCACTCTCTGTACATGTGCTTTTTCTTCTATCTGGGCGCGCCCTGACATTTCCCCCTTTTGGAGATGGATCGTACGTTCTCAACCTGGGATTTATCTGCAACCGTTTTGCTGGAATTCTTCGTCCAGTTCTCATTTGCAACGGAGATGGGTTGACGCCAATATTCGAATCTGTTGACTCATTTTTCGATTGCAGCTCGAACGTTTCAAGGAGGATGTCCAACGGTAGATTCGTTTTTCTTTCGTGTATCGTACCGGGTCGTATGCAATGTCGAATTTGATTAGCATGCCTAATCCACACTGTTCCGCCAACATCTACTTCATAGATGACGTTCCCTCTTCGTCGCAATATAACTCCCGAACTCCAGCGATTCGCTGAGTAGTCTCTGACAGGGACGGAGTCTCCGCGGCTAAAAATACGTCCAGAGCGACACTTGCCGTTGAATTGTCCTGGTTGGTTTTCATCATCGGTCTCTGGTTTTTTTGGGGCGCAATGCATCAAACAATGTCTTCACTTTCCTCCCAAACATAAGTTCCGCTGGAGACTTCCCATTAGGCGTACTTGGGTTTGGTGTCGTCCGGTAGTTGGTTAGGAAAGCATGAATGACATCGTCCGTTGGTCCCTCCCCTCAAGATTCAAACAGCGCTCGTTTAAAGGAACGCATAAATCTTCTAGCTTATCCATTTGATTGAGGGTGGTACGACAAGGATTTAATGCACTGACTGCGACCTTCGGAGTCCTTCCAAAACGAACCAGGCAGCTTTCTGAATATGTTCGGTTTCGTCGCCTGTGTCTTGTAACAAATAGTATTCAGTGGCCTGTCCGAAAGGTTTAGCTTGTCAATCCAATCTGATCCTAACGTCCAATCCAGCACGATCGGACACATGACAAATCCTACTTACAGCGATACCTCCAAGAGTCATGGAACATTTGAACTCACCGGTGAGTTTCAGTAAACTTCCGAATGCATTGTGTGCAGCTTGTTTGGTCCTGGTTAATGCTGGGCTGCCAAGAAATTTCCAAGTTCTTTTTGAGATGATCGTGATGTCTGATGCCGTGTGCAGCTGGAGACGAACAAGTGTGCTGTTAATACACACTGACACGTATTTCCTCCTGTTTACGTGTGTGTGTTGATGAGCGGCCAGGCCGACGCGAGCCTTCGGAAGCTTGGAATGGGAAGTTCCGGTTCGAGAATACCTCTTAGGTGCTTGCCTTTCCTCGCCGTGACACCGATCTTCTTTGTGTCCAATACGGGAGCACCTGCTGCAGCGGTGTCTTCTGAACGGACAAAAATTGACGAAATGCCACTGACCACATTTCCAGCATACCGAAGGTGGTTTCTTGTCACCATGACGGACAATATGCTTCTGAATCGCATGAACAGCATTGCTGGGGCCATTTTCCTGTATCATGACAGTATCACGCTTCAAATTCATCAGGCGCTGGCATTCCGACGTAATATTCTGTAATGTGACGTCTGGGTTCTGCTCAATCTTGCTGGGGATTCTCGTTCTCATTTCTGCGTCTTCAGGGGACGTCAACCCGCACATAAATTTAAGACATTTGAACTCAACCTCTGTCATGCTTCGGAGGTGGAAACGTTCACACTCCTTGTTGACTTTGCCCGCCTGCGTAACCCAGTCTTCTGAAGCATTCTTGTTCAAGTTCATACAGTGAAATTGACGGCTTAACAAGGAAGCCTGTTCTCTGAAGATTGACGATAAAACAGCAACGGTTTCATCGAAAGTCAGGTCACTTGGTTTTCGTGGCAAAATATAGTTCGTAAAGCGTTCATGTTCGGCCACTCCGATTTTCCTGACCAACTGTCTTGCTTTCCAAGAATCTATGTTTCTCAGATCCAATCTGAAAAAGTCTTCATGCTTGTTGAACCAAGAATCAAAATTAATGCATGAGATCGGATCGAACTAGAATTCAGGAGTCGCTTTGAGCATCATGTCGATCGCTGAAGTGGACGGCTGAATAGTATGGCTAATCGGCTTCTGTAGTGACAATTTTTCGTTAAGTGTCTCGATGAGCTTTAACTGCGCCAGCTTAAACTGTTGCTGCTGCTGTTTGAGGAGAGAGTGCATCTGTTCAAATGAAATTACCAATGTGAACACTTGTCTGCCAGTGTTGTATCTTGCAGGACCGTTACGCCTGAACTGAGCCTGCCAGACTGCGCGCTAGGAAAAAGACAGGGAACTGGAGACACGGCTGTATTGCCAGAACAAAACATACAGAGCGTCTGCGTAATATTTAGGATGACTAAGTAGCCAAATATGGTCGTTCACTTGTTCGTTCCGTACGTACAATGGTGGCGTTCCGGTTGTGAACAGTCTCAGGCCCACTACGCTGGTCGTATGTTGCTAAGCCGTGTTTGGTGAGAGCTGCCAACTCACCTACTTTCCGGACGTGTCGAACCGATGGTGACCTTGGGGATGCGTCACTCTCTGTACATGTGCTTTTTCTTCTATCTGGGCGCGCCCTGACAGGGTGCTAGTCTGTCTGCAGTTTCAGTAAGAAAGATCAGAGCGAGGGCCGGCACACCTCAGATTGATTGCAGTGGTCGCAAGCCCCATTCTTTGCGTAGCAAATCCTAACCCTGGACACTTGTCAGAAAGCGGTCGCACGTGTTCTGTTTCAGTTGACTAGGTTTACAAGAGGCTGTGCTGATCAGTCAATACCAGATGAGCCCTTACTACAAAGAACTTTGACGAAATCCATAAGCGTGGGGTTGGGGTTCGAACTAGCAGTGGTTGGTCAAACACATGATCACCTAATTAGTATTTTCACTGAAGAGAACAAACAAATTAGGTTCTATTAGACTGAGGCTGAAGCCTCCAAATTGTAATGCTGCAGGATTGCAGTCCGTGATTATTGAGGAAAAATTTGAAAGCTCAGGTAGTGTAGATGATCGTTCGTTTGTTTCTTGAGCTGAGCACTGTGATTGCGAACGCCGCGCCACTAATCGAGGTAACATCATTAGTGCGTTGGTGTCAGTCGTGAAGGTATATAGTCTTGCCAACTTTAGGAAGTATCAGGAAGGTCAGATTCCTGAAAGTAACCTCAGGAACCTCGGAGCCTATTGCTCCACCAAAATCTCAACAGGAAAGCCAGCAAACATCCAGGCCAGTCAATGATTCAATCAATTCAGCAAAAGCGGATGAGTGTTCATGCACGCTACAGAAGCACAACCGAACGTGGTCTGCTTTCAGGCATTTCATAGAGGCACGATCGATGTTGATGGGTGTTCACCAAACGCCTCTCAGACAGCCTGGATCAATGTCAGAATGTCCCCTTTAAATAGCATGGGGCTGTTGTAACTTTTGCTCGCGCACTCGCAAGCACTCACTAGCTTGTTTGGAGCTGTTGTGTTCCCTTCTGCGAGCCTCTTTTCCGGCACTAGGCACTGGATTGGGTCAACACCAGATTCCACAGATTGGTGAATCAGCAGATATAACCCGAAATCTAACAATAACAGGTCTGTCTGCAAACTGGCCACTCGGATGAAGCTAGAGATGGATATATTTCCTCAGCGTTTTTCGTCAACTAGCTTGTTATGGGTTACGAAATTAGCCATAGCTGAATTGGACTTTACGAAGCCATAGCCCTAATGAAATGCCAGACAGATTTCTCACCCTGGCTTCTATCACGAAGACTTTGAGATTTTGATTCAGCATCCACAGCAGACACACGATGTTCCGTTTCACTGGCTACACCGACAGTGAGAAGAAGAAGGCTTTCGCCGCAGAGTTATTTACTAGAGAACGGAACAGTTACAGACAATTGGACAGGGAAACAAAACCCTCATATGCATCTATTTTTACAAAAACTGAATATACACCTCCTTGAACGTTTCTTCCTGAACTTTCCTAGATATTCATTGACTGTTACTAAAATGCAAGCAAATGCTACAAAGCGAGTCCACAAATTTCGTAATAGATCTCATTAATCAGGAGAGGCCAAGCTGAATTACGAGAAAACACTACTCGCATGCCTCATCAGTAGTATCCACCATTACAGTGGTAGCGAACATGTTTCGCTCACTAACTCGGGAATGTCGATTTCCATGATACTGGTTATGAATCGAGGCTGCGAAGACTTTTGGTCGCATGAAGTGTTACAGGTTACACGGAAGATCGTGGCGGAAGATACATATGTATTTGTAATGCACTACTCATAAGTTTGCCGAAAACTCTTCGACAGCCCACAACAGGTTTCGCCTATCTTAGGGCTCAGTTCCCGTCAACCTTGTGTTCTACTTGGAACCAAGTTGCACGAAATTAGCGAAATACACTCATTT